ATATACATATAGTATACATATATACATATATACTATATATTATATAGTATACATATTATGTATAATATATAAAGTGTTGTATATATTACATGCATAGATTGATATACAGTACTTTAATATACAGTACTTTAACATATATTATGTATATTTTGTATGTTAATGTAACATTCATAAATTGTATATATTAAATATACATATATTGCACACATTAAAAATATATATTAACATAAATTATATTAATGCATTTAATATATTACATTAATTTTATAATACGTAAACATACATTTGTATATGTACATATTATATTCATATATGTATTCTATGTTATGCTTATGTAACACATATTAATTATTGAAGTGTTGTTTAGCACCTTGGTATGAGCAGCAGCAGATGGAATGGAAACCTTAGCTCTGTGAGTTTGTTTTCTGCTGAGTTCTTGTGTCAACAGCTTTGTCTTTTAGCAGTGGTTAGAGTGGGCAGGTGTCCCATGCGTTGCAGTATTTTAAGAATTGAAGGATAACTTTGTTGCACACACATGTAACAGTGCATCTCACTGCCCACATAAAACAGGTGCTCCCCAAACTGTAGTTCCTCACACCCACTGTCCCAGCGCTTTGCGGGGCCAAGGTGGGAGGATCGCTTGAGGCCAGGAGTTTGAGATCAGCCTGGGCAACATATGGAGACCTCATCTCTACAAAATAAAAATACAAAATAAATTAATTGGGTGTGGTGGTGCACACCTGTAGTCCCAGCTACTCAGGAGGCTGAGGTGGGAGGATCGCTTGAGAGAAGGAGTTCGAGGCTGCAGTGAGCTGCAATTGCACCAGGGTACTCCAGCCTGGGCAACAGAGGGAGACTCTGTCGCAAAACAAAACAAAACACTCCCGCAATTCCTGTCTGTCTCTGCAAGCGATACCCGAGACAGCCTCTTGTTAAGATGACAGGGGTCCACCTAACTATGATTTTCCTTCACACCCTCGGAAGAAGGTTATCTGATCCTTTCAACAAGTACACAAGATGAGCCTGACTTCTAGGAAAGTCAGAGAGCTCCAACAGTGTGTGGCTGAATATTAATACATATCTATGACACATAATTGACACAACCCTGGACAATCTCTAGCAATCTTACCCCGAAGTACAAAGCATGTTTGTTGTGCCGAGGGGGCTTCAAGACTCCTCCCCCAGCCTTCCAACAAACACACAAACACATATCCTTTCCAAATTAGACTGGCACTCACCAAAAGCCTATGCTACAGAAACTCCCGAGTGCTCCCTCCCAGAAGATGCGGACCCAGACCCTGAACAGCCATAGCAGCCCATGGGAAGACTCCCTTCCCCAGGGAATTCCAAGATGGGAACAGGGACAGCTTGGTCATAAGTAAACAGGCTTGTGTTTGACCCTTAACTAGGTGTAATAGTTCAGCCTCTGCTAATAGCAAGTGCTATGTGAGTGTCCAAAATGACAAATCAATTGATTTTACAGTGTACAAAGGCAGGACGTTTTTAACAAGCTACGAATGCCACTCAGAAACCCGGGTGTCAAATATGTGAGTAATAAGAGTAAGCAATAAAATATTTTATTCATTCATGATGATGAGGGCAGCATATTTTTAACAACCTGTGAAGCCAGTCTGCAAAGTCAACATCGCACGCTACAACAGGAATGAGCAAATGCTGGCCTTCGGGCTAAATCCGGCCCTCTGATTATTTTTGTCAATAAAACTACTGGAGCACAGCCATGCCCGCTTGTTTACATATTGTCTATGGGGCTTTGTTTTTTTAAGAGTCAGGTTCTTGTTCTGTCTGTCACCCAGGCTGGAGGGCATTGGTACAATTATAGCTCAAAGCAGGCTCAAACCCCTGGGCTCAAGTGACCCTCCCACCTCAGCCTCCTGAGCAATCTCAGGCTCATGCTACCACTCCTGACAAATTTTCTAATTTTTGTAGAGATGGGGTCTTGCTACATTGCCCAGGCTGGTCTCAAACTCCTGGGCTCAAGCGATCCTCCTGCCTTGGCCTCCCAAAGCACTGGAATTACAGGCGTGCACCTCCGTGCCTAATTATAGCAGCTTTTTTGCACTCTGTGCAACAGAGACTGTGTGTCCTGCAAGGCAGAAAGTATCTGCCATGTGGACCCTACAGGTAATTGCCCATCCCTGGATTAGACTAAAGGAGAAAAGCCATAGCTTGTTTGGAGACAGAAGCAGACGAGACTCAGACTTCTGAAAAGATAAAAAGTTTTATTAAACAAACCTGGAATCAACAGTATTATTACATAAATTAGACAGCAGTAAAATTTTCCTAGGGCGTATGTACAAATCACAGTGATTTCCATTGTGCAACAAACAGACAGGATTAAAAATAGGCACTCCCCTCCCCAACCCCCCATGAGAAGGTGGGGTCACCCCACGGGGTTCCCAGTTCTGGCTCGCCAAGGGGTGCACAAACCTGCAAAGGCACTCTGCCTGTGTGCGCGGCATCCGGCGGCAGTCACAGGGCCCCAGAAGCACGGTGGCAACATGGTGAGGCTGCCCAATGTTCAGCGCAAAACAAGATTCAGCTACAACAGCTGAGCAGAGCTCAACAGCCATCTCACAGGATAAGGACCGTGGAAAGGCCTCAAATCCCATCCGCTAAAACACAATTGTAATGCCTTTTACATACAGAACAGACGTGCCCACCATGGAAGATCAAACTAAGCCTCAACAGAACCTCCCAACACAATAATTTACAGAGAACCTGACAGGGCATTCCCCTGTTATTAGGAAGGACTCTTCTGCGGGGTGCAAGGCCATAAGGTTTGCAAAGCAAACTTGATTATGAAAAAGCTTGGTGAAAATACAGCCCCCTCACCTTCACCAAGACACACACCCCCCGCCAAGAAACTATCAAAATGCATTAAGACACCTGTTCATGTGCTTTTCTTCTTGCTTTTGTTAAGTGAATCCCATCCCTTTAAGTTAGACTAATTAGAAGGCCTTCTTGCCTCCGTCAGCAACAGAGAAAAAAACAGTGCATACGACTCCTCCAATGTGTGTAAAATGCATGCTAGGTAGATTGAAGGAAAAATGAGAGGAACCCGGGCACCCCATTTCAAATCTCTACAACAGGAGAAATCAAAGGCTGCAAGGACTGTGTAGACCTGATGCAAAGTTAACTGGCTACAGAAATAAAACCCAAGCCAGTGCTGTCTTGCACTCTGTTCACTCAGTAGGTGGAGCCATGTATGCCTATGACATTCTGGTGTGGTATTTGTGCAGCCTGAGGTGCACCCTGGCTACAGAGTTGAGCCTTGGGGTCTTTAACAGTATTAAGCCATAGTTTCACAGTTACAATGGTCCAAAGAACTAGAGGCCACGTAGGTCAAACACAGAAATGGCAAACACATCACAAACCACTCAACTGTTTGGTTCCACTGGTGATTTTTTGTAATGAGTAGTGATTTCAAATGATTTGGTGTTTTTGTTCTTATTTTTGCTTTTTCTTCAAAGCAAACAAATGATTTGGTCTTTAAGTGTGGACAGAAAGAAACAAAACGCTGAATGAGAAATTCACTAACAAGTGATTGTGCAGTTGTTTGATGGGCATGGAGAGGGAGTGGGGCTGAACAGCATTTTGAGGGGACGAAGCATGCAATCTTACCCCACTGCTGGGGGGTTTCTGCTTCTTATTCTATCATGCTGACAGCAAATATAATTTGCCCATCGCTGGCTATAGATATGTTTAGGCTAAGCAGGATTTAGACTTCTGTTGCAAAGGAATTAGAAGAATTCAGTAGATACAGTGTATACTATTCGGTTGTGACTTTATTTCCTTCCTGGCTTTATCAATGCCTATGAAAGCAGGCTGGTGGCATTTCCCTTCAGAAAAACAAGACTTGCCCCAATATACTTCTTGTTGTAACATATCCATTTCCTAAAGATATTCTCTTATAGTATTCCAATTTAAGAAAATACTGCCAACTCATAAAATTACATGAAGCAAAGTAAATTTGTAATGTTTTTCTGACACAAATTTTGTGATTATTATAATGAATTTTCCTCCACATTTTGCACGGTGATTGTTTCACATGATCATCTATGAGAAAATTTTGGAATGACCACCCAGGTCAACTATTTTTATTTTTTTTATTTTTATTTTTTGAGATGGAGTCTCACTCTGTCGCCCAGGTTAGAGGGCAGTGGCACAATCTCGGCTCACTGCAGCCTCGCCTCCCAGGTTCAAGCCATTCTCCCGCTTCAGCCTCCCGAGTAGCCGGGATTACAGGCGCCCACCCCCACACCTAATTTCTGTATTTTAGTAGAGACGGGGGTTTCACCATGTTGGCCAAGCTGGTCTCGAACTCCTCACCTCAGGTGATCCGCCCACCTCAGCCTCCCAAAGTGCTGGGATTACAGGCGTGAGCTACCATGCCTGGCCAGGTAAACTATTTTAAAATTATATATAGTGATTGTTCCGTGTTTATAGCTCATTTTGATTAAATTAACCTCTACATGACATTGGGCCATTTAAACTATGACCCTGCCATGGGCAGTTACCAGGTAGCCTGTGTCACTTCAAACGCTGAAATGTGCGCGACGGTCAAAAGTGGGTTTCACACCATCACACGTTCTTGGAATTGCTTCTAATTTCTCATTTGTTCTGTATGGCTAGAGGCTGATAACAATGTCCGTAAAGAACGAGGTCATCAATGTGCTTGCATATTTCATTTTCCTGCATATCAGGTCACAATTAAGGCATTTCAGGCTTTCCTGATGCTAATTTTCATCTGAGTATGAAATCCTGGATAATAAAACAGACAACCTAAAAACAGGCATACGGACTCATGGATCTATGTACTTTTTAAAATGTGCTCAAGTGTTTCATTTATGGTTTTATTAATAATTTTTAAAGTAGAATGTTCAATATTACTATGATTTATTTTTATAGTCAGCAAACATGAGACCTGATGCTTTTCCTTCTAGCTCCACATCTCAGTGCACAGTGTAACCTTTTTAAAACAAAAATTGGAACGCTGCATGAATATACGGATCTTCCTTGCAAAGGGAGCCACGCTAATCTGCTCTGTGTCATTCCAATTTTAGTACACCTGCTGCCGAAGTCAGCGCCAGTTTCACCTTTTCACATTCACGGTAAAACTGATGGGAAACTGCATGCTCAATGTTTAGACAATGATGGCCCTCAACTGTTAATCCCAACAAGATGGTGAGTGAGACGCACAGGCTGAAAATACAGTTGTCTAAAACATTTCCACATTTCACCATCTGAACATCATTTTCCACTGACTGACTAATTGTAAAGAGTTTATTCTACTGAACCTACTAATTATTCTCACCTACTGAGTTGACCTCCACGTGAAGAAAAGGTCATTGATGAAAAAGGGCAGCTGTGTTCTGTTTCTGCAATTTCACTGTGTTGTAACATTTTTTTTTTCTTTTTATAGAGATGAGGACTCGCTATGCTGCCCAGGCCGGTCTCAAACTCCTAGGCTCAAGCGATCTTCCTGCCTCAGCTTCCCAAAGTCCCAGGTTTATAGGAGTGTGTCACTGTACCCAGCTTCACTGTCTTTTCAAGCCTTAAGGTGGACGTTCTCTTCATTCCACCTGTGAAAGCACAAAGCCATTACCTTTTCTCTTTTTTTCTTTTTCTTTTTTTTCCTGGACAGGGTCTCACTCTGTCACCGAGGCTGGAGTGCAGTGGTGTGATCTCAGATCACTGCAGCCTGGACCTCCCTGGATTCAAGTGATCCTCTCATCTCAGCCTCCTGAGTAGCTGAGACTACATTCACGTGCCACCATGCCCGGCTAATTTTTTTGTATTTTGTAGAGATGAGGTCTCACCATGTTTCCCAGACTGGTCTCCAACTCCTGGGCTCAAGCAATCCACCCACCTCAGCCTTCCAAAGTGCTGGGACTATAGGAACAAGCCACTGCATCCAGCTCAGATAAAATTTTTGAATGTGTCACAGAAGGTTGTTTTAAATACAGTACATTCCTCCAATAACTTCAATGTCATTGTAGATTCTTGGAATAAATTCGCTCCCATATCTTCTTTCTCTTTGTTTCTTCTTTTAAAATCTCCAGTTACCAGGTAGGAAGCACTAAAGATACTGAAGGTAGACCTCCCCATGATATTTTCTTCCCCCAAACTATAAAATACATGTGAGATGATTTTTTTTAATGCATGCAACATACCCTTCCGATGTTGTCCCCGAGAAGAGATTTTTGAAAAAACAAATTGAAAAATAAAAATTATAGGCTCTGTGAAGTATGAACATTTACATCACTGCACAATTTCTGTGCATCTACCATAATGACTTCTATATATACACACAGGCATACACACACACACACACACAATTTGCGGTTATAATCGAACAAGTCCAGTTCAAACTTACAAACTGAAGTCTATGAGAAAAACCAAGACATCACAGTAGGCACACAACACCACTAAAGGATAAGACAAAATCTACAACCAAACAATTTTCAAAACCTTCCTACAGTGTGGAATTCCAGTTGCTTAAATAATGCCAGTTCCATTCATTTCAACTGTGCTCTGATCTATTTCTATACACACAGGTACACAGAAAAGTGGAAATGTCCTTATGCCGTGAAGAAGACATTTTACTTCCGGTCTGCTTAGGTGCAGTTCTTTGTTCCAGGCCGACTTCAATCTTCCTGTTTCTAGCATGAAATAGGATGAAAGATTTTGTGAGTTTCTCAGTAACTGGATGAATTTCGTAATCATGATCATCTCAATGATAACACAAAGGTTTCCTTTTCCTAAGTGACAACAAAGAAAACTTCCCTTTGTAATTGTTTTTGCAAGGATCCATAAGCCTGAATTCTAAAGGGAGAGGCCAATAAAAAGGAAATGAAGAATGTTTCAAAGGTAAGGGTTTTTTTTGGTTGGTTGGTTTGAGACGGCGTTTTGCTTTTGTTGCCCAGGCTGGTGTACAGTGGCGCAATCTCAGCTCACTGCAACCTCTGCCTCCCAGATTCAAGAGATTCTCCGGCCTCAGCCTCGCGAGTAGCTGGGATTACAGGCGCCTGCCACCATGTCTGACTGATTTTTGCATTTTTGATAGAGACGGGGTTTCACCATGTTTGCCAGGTTGGTCTCAAACTCCTGACCTCAGATGATCCATGTGCCTCAGCCTCCCACAGTGCTGGGATTACAGGCGTGAGCCACCTTACCCAGCCCTGTTTTCATTTTTGAGATACGGTCTAATTCTGCCATCCAGGCCGGAGTACAGGGACACAATCACAGCTCACTGCAGCCTCAACTTTCCAGGCCCAAGCGAGCCTCCCACCTCAGCCTCTAGAGTAGCTAGGACAACAGGTATGTACCACCACACCTGGCTAACTTTTTTATTTTTTGTAGACATGGAGTCTCACTATGTTGCCCAGGCTTGATCTCAAACTCCTGACCTGAAGTGAGCCTCCTACCTCAGCCTCCCAAAGTACCGGGATTACAGGTAGGAGCCACCCCACCCAGCCTAAAGAATGTTGTATCGTACGCTTATCCATAAATAGATAAAATGTATCCACTGATAGATGATGACCTGCACAAGAAAAATGGAATCCCCAATTCAACATGCTTCCTCAGAGAACCTCACAGCAAGACAGCAAATATTTTATTACAAAGTCAAATAAAAGACGTAGTGAGTCAGTTCTCCTAAATTCCTCCTCCACATTCAGAAAGGCATGTGGGGTGATTCAAACAAAGATGAACGGCGAAAGCATAGTTTCTAAGCTGCCCTCAAGTGCAGTGATTCATCTGAACTGCTGTCCTATTCACAGGAGAAGATTTGGCTTCATGAAGAACTATCTTCCTGCATAAAATTCCTGAACCTAATTGCTCGTTGCTGAAAATGCCAGGGATGTGTTTGGCATGCAAATTACTTGAGAAAATTACTGAGACGGATTAAAATATTGCATCTGGGTCGGGCACACTCATGCCTGTAATCCCAGCACTTTGGGAGGCCGAGGTGGGCAGACTGCATGAGCTCAGAAGTTCAAGACCAGCCTGGCCAACATGGCTAAACTCATCTCTACTAAAAATACAAAAAATTAGCCTGGTGTGGTGGCAGGCACCTGTAATCCCAGTTACTCGGGAGGCTGAGGCAGGAGAATCACTTGAATCCAGGAGGCAGAGGTTGCAGTGAGCTGAGATCACACCACTGCACTCCAGCCTGGGCAACAGAGCAAGACTCCGTCTCAAAAAGGAAAAAAAAAAAATGTATTAAACAGAGCCCTGAACACCACTAGCCAAACTACATTAAAAATGATTCCACTTAGCAAAAATAATACTTACACATACTTTCTCAACAATGCATACCAGATTGAGAAAGGTTATTCCTATGTGTGGAATCCTTTTCAGGGACAGTAGGGGCAGCTGGGGACAGGATGTAATGAAAGTGTCCACTGATTATAAGACAAAAATCCATCCAATGGAAGCTTTTTTGTTCTTGAAGTAAATTTTACAACTGAGGGCTCTGTGTTAGAGAAAGGTTCTATTTTTGTGGCTTATCAACGGGTCCTTCATACTAAAGCAAACCAAGTCTTTACTTCATTTTAAAGATTTCCTGGAGAGACATAATTTGTAAGATGTTATGCGCAAGTTAGCGAAAATGTGAGCCCCAGAGTAGACCAGAGAAACAAACACATTCAGGAACATCTTATGATTTTTAAAACCCACAACTGGATTTCACAAGCATTTATGAAGTTGATAAAGTTACACACTCTCATGTTAATACCAACCAGTCACCACTGTAAAAGCGTTCATCACATACTGAGAGGTGAAGCCATGCCACGGAGACAGGTTATTTTCTCGAGGTCATAGCCACCTATTCCTCTATCATTTTGTTCTCTGTTATTTTAATTTTTATCTAGTTTTCCTCTCGATACATCCATGGAAACACCCGCCCAGGATGGAGGGCTCTCATTCACCCCGTCTTTCAGCAGGTTGGTTCCTCTCCCCTATCAGCAACTGTGACATTTGGTGTCTGTTTCAAATGGTGTTGGTTAGCCAACTGGCTTTCCACTTCACATAACTGGGAAGACTACAGGAAAATTATGGGAATGGAAATCAAAGTGGGAAAAACAAGCTATGTCAATGAGTAGACACATCACTGACAATATTTTGCTTCACTGGTATTTTTCTTGCTCATATGTTACAGGAAGAAAGATCTAATTGAAGCCATATAACCGAGCAATTTAGAATTGAGGAGTAACTGAAAGCTCTTTTTAATCCATATTTAAAAACTAATAACAGACTTTCAAAGACTCAAGGAAATAACAGTCAAAACCCTTTTTCAGTCATCTGAAATTAAAGCTTAGCAAATTTCATGAGGGATCCTAAAAAATATTATTATTATTTAAAAAATAATAACAGACCTTCAAAGGCTCAAAGAAGTAATAGACTCAAAATCCCTTTCCAGTCATCTTCAAAGCTTAGCAAATTTCCTATGAGGGTATGTTTCTTCTTCTTATTTTTTAACCAAAGGGGACCTAAGAGACTTTTGAAAATACTTGTTAATTATTGTAAGGAAGCTCGCCTGTCACTCAGGGTTTCTGGAACAGGAACCAGAAGAGCTGGGCTTCTCAAATGTTCAGGCACACACAAACCACCCAGGGGTCTTATTTAGATGTGCAGGTTCTGACGCAGAAGATGGATTCTGAACTGTGATGCCGATGCCTCCGACCACATGCTGACCTGGAGTCACAGGCATGGCTGTGTTTATGTCACTGACCCTTGGAATCATTCCCCTTTGCTCTGCTTCACTGCTGACCTCTGTGCGCATGAGGTTAAGCCCCATTCAGTAAACGCAGCCTCACCTGGATGTGGGGTCGAGTCAGTCTCATTTTTTGATAATTACTAAATATAAAGATATACCTTCCAGATGTGAGCTCCTGTCCTCAGAAATTCTTGAAGATTTCTAAATCCTTCTGCGGCACGGGCGCGGCTGTGTCCCAGTCATTCTCGGGGTAAGTTTCGAAGTTGGACGTGTCGCCGTCGCCAGCTATCTTGGGCACGATGGGAGGCTGTGAGACATGGCCGAAGCACAAAGGCATGGTTAGAAAGGAACGGGACGCTAGGATGC